AAAAAAAGCTCTCAAGTTGAGGCCAAAATGGAGGGGATATCCCACCCTACCCTGAGAGTCCACTTCTACATCAAAACAAACTCTCCATGCAAAGATAGGGAGCAAATACATTGACAGGGCTGCCACTTTATTTGGAGACTCTAAAACTGAAAACACGGCATCACTGCTAATGTATTTGCTCCCTATCTTTGCACGGAGAGTTCGTCTTGATGTAGAGGTGTACTTTCAGGATAGCGTGGGATATCCCCTCCATATTGGCCTCGACTTGAGAGCTTTTTTTGAGCTTGGGAATTGATTTCAGAGAATGCCAGTGGGGCCATCGTGTTTCTCTCGAACTTTTACATAAGAATCAACAGTCAAATCGCAAATTCCTCACACATGCAACATCTCCATTGAGCAATAATGTTGTCAGAGATATATGTTTTATCAAGAGAAATTTGGCAACTCTCGAATGTTATTACTACGTTCTTCCTTAGCACGGCAGTAATCTTTGTGCGCAATCGGGGCAGCATTCATAAACAGCTCCTCTCCTTCGGGAGCTCATTAGGCATCCCGCCGTGGGACAGAAAACGCAGTATGAAGTTTCTATGCGTGGCCAAAAATATTATAAAATGATACAAATTAATTAGGAAAGTTGTTGTATTTTTCTCCGCAATTTAATCTGAAATATCGGACAATTTCAAGAAAAAGGATGCAATTTGTTTTTTTCCAAAATACGTTTTTCATCCGGAGATATTTGGCAACTTCTGATGTTTATACTTCGCTTTTCCTTAGCATGGTAACATCGAGATACGTATTCATGGTCGATCGAGCAACTCCTTTCCTTAGGGAGAATCTATTCACTTATTGTAGTGGGCAGTTGCACAACTCTTTGTTCTTTTGTCAATTTTTGGAGAGTATGTGAGAAAGTGAGTGACTAGACTTTTCCGTTTTAAATTTGGACTGCATTTTGCAGTTAAGAGCCACTATATCTGGCTCATTTCAGAAACAACATAAGTGCCTTTAGACTTTCAATGCAGGTATGTGGTTTTATAGGTGAGCCTAAAATAGTAGTTATTTTTTTTGGAAAATGAAGTCCATTTCATATGTTTGCCGAAAAATGAGTTTCGAAGTCACTGAAACTCTCTTTTCAAGCGATTTTTCATTTTATCAGTTAGGCCATCATTCGTGTCCTCTGGAAGAAATCATTTCCTATGTATTTCTTCCTATGTATTTTAGTGAGATTCCGCTCAAATTAAAAGAAAAATTCAGTTAGATTCGTTACGTCAAGAAGTGTAGACCTTTAACCCCCTTAAGCACCCCTTGACATGAAAACTGGATTCGAAACATAGCTCTAGAAATTGTTTTTACCGAGAGCCATTTTCACTTATAAATGCGCCTAAATAAATGTTCGATGTCTTTACCGTGGTGAATCTAGAGACATATTTTGAAAGTTGATTTTTCGCTGTTCTTAATTGCTCACTTCTCATAATCCTGGAAAGCCTCCCGGGCATTCGTTATCTAATGTTTCGAAAGTTAATGAAGAGCCCGCAACCTGTAAAAAGCTCAGCAGCACTGAAAGATCGATAATTTGGCGCGGGAAAGAGTCGGAATTGCATTAAAACTTGAGTAGCGTTTTAATGATTCCTGGCCTAGTTATGAGGGTAGAAAAATTCAAGCTCGAGCTGATGACTTGAGGCGCATTCTATGAGATTGTTCTTAGTAGGTTAATTGGACTGCATTTTGCAATAAGGAAT